TATTTATTGAGCTTTCTTTCAAAACTAATATTGCATCTCAGATTTTTTTTTTTAGATTTTACTTATTTATTTGACAGAGAGAGACAGCAAGAGAGGAAACACAAGCAGGGGGAGTGGGAGAGGGAGAAGCAGGCTTCCCGCGGAGCAGGGAGCCCGATGCGGGGCTCGATCCCAGGACCCTGGGACCATGACCTGAGCTGAAGGCAGATGCTTAACGACTGAGCCACCCAGGCGCCCCGCATCTCAGATTTTTGAAAAGTTTAGTTTACTTTGTATTTTAGGGATCCATGCTTTTGAAGAGAATTTGCAGTTAGCAAATACCGAGTCTCAGTCTTTTTATATGCACAATAGGGATAATAACAGTATTACTTCATAAGGGTGTTGTGAAAATGAAATAAGATCTGATAGTCACCTTCTCGAACATCTGCCACTTGTATTGTGCTCCAAATATATGGTGCCTTTTGTTACATACATGGCTCAATGCAGATAACAATGTAGTAAAACATTTCTGACAGACAACCGTGGGAGGGGCCTTCTTACAGGATTTTTAACTATCCTTAAATGTTGAAATAATCACTCCAATCACTGTTTTCTAACTGCATCAGAGGAAGGCTTTGTCCAGGACACATGATAAGGGATCTTCTTTATTGTGTCAGGATCTTTCTTATTCCACAAATTGAGCACAAATTCAGGGACCCAAGATGAGGAATACTGTCTAATCAGGACTTTGTCTGTGAGACACAATTATCTTCTGCTATGCTGTACTCATAATTGACATGTTAATTAGGCAATTTATGAGATATGAGAGACAAGTCAGCAGTATGGAAGTAGTATTTCTAAAAACAAACAAAATAGAAGAGCAGACACAATGACCACATCACTAATAGTTTGGGGTCAGGAGGGAGCTGGAAAACAGGGACTCTTGCCCTGGACAGGTCAACAGTGTCCCAAAGGGAATGTTAAGGAACTCTGAAATTTGTATCAAGAGCCCAGAAGGCAAACGTCATGCATAAGTGCATGGCCAGCTTAGTGGGAATCAACTTCAAGGTGCTGCTTAGAAACAGGTGTGCAGTGTGGAGTGTCTGAGACAGAAGATTGAGGCTATCAGAGTAAATAACACAGGAGCCCTTTGCTTACATGGGGGAGGCCCTCTGTGCTGTCTTCTGTGAGGGGCTTGCAGGCAAACCGTGCTATTGAAAACGGTGCCAAGAAGACCAACTAAAATGACTGAATGCCAAGAAAGCCATCCTGTTTATGTAGCCTGTGGAAGGTAAGGCCAAGCAAGGTCTTGAGAATGTGAAGGGACTATTGTGGTGATGTTGTGTGTGTCTTCTGTTACTTTAAGATACAAGAGAGTGTATGTTAAGTTGTAACAGGAGAGAGTTAGGTTAGGCAGCTAAAGAAATGACTTGTGGCCAAAGTTGCGTGACTGAAACAGTTATTAAGTGAAATTTGTATGTGTTTTCTGGCTGCACATGGAGAAAACGAACCAGTGAACTCAGTTCCATGTTTTAGTTTCCAGTGAGTATGATGGGCAAGAAGTCTCTTTTCCTCTTTCCAAATCCTTTCTAAAATCACCTAACACAACATTTGGCCTACATTTATACCAATGAACACTATTACTGAAAAATGGCAAACTTCCTATATAGGAATAGATTTTTTTTTGAGGTAAACTTCACATAACATTCATTTCACCATTTTATCCATTTTAAAGTACACATTTCAGTGACTTTTAGTACATTCGCAATGTTGTGCAACCAGCACAATTTGCTTGTTCTGGAACATTTTCATCACCCCAAAAGGAAACCCCTGTACACATTAAGCAGTCGCTACCCACTCTTCCCTCCTCCCAGTCCCAGCCCCTGACAACAACTAACATGTTTTCTGTCTCTATGGATTTGCCGTAGGAATGTATTTCTTTTGGGATCTTCTGAATTCTGCATTTAATTTTCCAACTGGAAACTGTAGACTACAGAGTGTGTGTGTATGTGTGTGTGTGTGAGAGAGAGAGAGAGCGAGAGCTAGAGCGAGTGAGAGAGAGAGAGAGAGGAATGAGAGTCAGTGTTCATGAGAAACTTTGCAAGGTCAAGTCTATTTAAAATATCCAAACAAAATGAAAACCTGAGACAATACTTATTTTTCAGTTAGATGTATGTAACTTAAATTAGGTGTCAACTTAAATTTCTCAAGGGTTCAGTCAGTTATAGGTTATAGAAATATCAAACAATTCTTGAAATATGTAACATGAATGCTATTGCCATGGCTTTATAGCTCCTAAGTTAGGCTAAAAAGTTTCACATGCATCAGAAGCTCTGTTCTGGATCTGAGCTCTTCCTGTAATAGTTGATGATAACCCTATTACTTTTCTTTAGAGCAGTGTAGGGGTGACCATTCTTTATTCTGCATTTGTCTTGGTAAACACATCAGATACAGCAGAGGAAACAGGATGCTGGCGGTAAGTGAAAAAGCAACTTAAAAATAATAAACCCCCTTTTTTCTCCAACCATAAATACTTATAAATTTTAAATTAGAATACACATTTTATTCTGGCTGGAATTTATAAAAAGTTAACCTATTCACAAACTTAAAAACTTTGAAGATGAACTAGAAAATGGTTCTTAGGGCATCTGTTTCTTTGTAAGCTGATTTAAAATTTGCATGGCTTTCTTAGTTATGATTACATTGATAGAGAAATTATGTTTTCTGAGTTTGGAAAAAAATACGTATTTTTGAGAGAAATTTTAATTTTCAGCCTGTCAAATAATTCCTTGGAAGGAAGAATAGCCAGTTGGGTCTTGTGATTTAAGCTGTGCTTTATAATCTTGAATGTCAAGGCCAGGAGATTACTGTCATTTTGCATTTTGTACATATTTTGAGGACTTTTATTCCATTTTCATTTTCAATTCCTTTTCATTTCATGAATCTTAACTAATATATCCTGACTATTTCCATTAATAAGGACTTAGGATTCCCCTGCCAAAGCTCAAACACCTCACTGGTTTTAATGTTATGGATCTTGCCTGTTTTTCTTTCCAGACTATCTTTTGTACGTGCTTCACTGTAGTCTCCCATCTGTTTGTTTTTCTTTTTGTTCTCTCAGTTTGGGCTTCTGGGGACTCCTTGATGACAACAGAAAACGGTTTCCATCTCACATTTTGAGGTATACATTGACTTAGCTACTGTTCCCACAAATACCTCTCGGTCGGTGTCAACCGGAAGCATTTTTTTTTTTTTTTAAAGCAACTGAACCTCCTTTAAGCCACCTGGAAGTCGGGAACGGCACAACACTTCTCTTATGGCACATAAAAATTAATGTAATGCACTTGGAGGTCCTTGTTGCTGAGAGACGCTATGGCAAACGCACAAAGTGTCATCTTTTTTGCCTTGCTTGAGTACCTATCAACAAAATTCATCTCCAGTAAGCACTGGCCATAAGGTGGAGGGGTTTAATTGGCCAGTTCCCTCCTTCTTCAGATCCCTCTTATTGTGTGGCTACATAAACCTATTCTCCAACTTAAGAAGACAAACCAAAACTTCTCTTGGAGTAAAGACAAAGGGCTTGAAAGTCCTGTGGAAAGAAAAGGGGGAAAAGGGCTTGAAAAGGAAAAAACAAAAAACAAAAAAACAACAAAAAAAAGCAGTTACCAGGAGAAGCTAAACTGTAAATCCCCTATCTCTGCCCTCCAGACCACATCCCAACCGAATCCAGCTGTGCCCCGCCCGCTGGTGGACCTGTGAGGCTCCTGATTGATAGTCCAGATACTGGGCATATATTTATCCGAGTCTCCCTTCACTGCTGGGTGTCAGTCCGGCCTGTGCTCAGGGTGTGGAATCTGGTTGGAGTTTCAGTGTGTAGGATCCACTCCCGGGGGTTTGGCAAGATTGAGAAGGGTAAGGTAATTGGCTGGCAATAGGGGCTGGTATGTCCAGGGGCTTCGGCACTGAGGGGGAAAACAGTGTAAAATTCATGGAAGGCTTAAGCCTGATGAGGTTCTTTAGAGTCATTCACCTGCCACTTCAGGAGGCCACCGAATGGCTTTATCTGGACAGGTATAGACCCAGGGACACAACTGGGACAACCGGTATTCCTGGTAACTGCCTGTCAGATACTGGGGCATTTGGAGAGGTGGGGAAGGGACGCAGGGGTGGGGGTGGGAGTGAAAGGTGATGAGGAAGAAGAAAGGATGGTGAAGGGAAATGTTTGCACAGGTTCCTCCTTTCTGCACCTCCAGGAAGAATTTGGAGGCCCAGGTTCTGGACTGGGGGTGGGTCCCTCACACCCTGCGGGCCTTGACCTTTCCACGCCTCCCTTTACTCCCCAGGAGAGGGCTCAACTCTGATCTTTGCGCCCTTCCCTGCCTTTTGATTCTTGTTCTTTGAGAGAAGCCCCGCCATGCAGTCTTGGGAAGAAATGATACTCTCCGCCGCAGGTGGGCCAGAATGGGAAAGCCGGCCCCTGTAATATGGATTATATTTATTTAGAGTTCTATATTAAAAACAACTGCCGTTTAAAAAAGTAATAATCCCCCAGTCTCAAGCCCGGGTAGGAGCTCTGCACAGTGACCATCCGGCTGCCTCCCTCTCCCCCAAAACTGCAGGTAGGCGGTGCGAAGCGCTTTCCTCCCGCACCTGCCGGTTCGCTTGGCTCTGGGCCTCTGTCCTCCGGCCCTGCGGGGTCCACGCTCCGTCCTCCCCTTCCCGACCTCCCCGCGCCCTTCCCGACGCCCTCCCGCGGCGAACACCCCGGCCACTGCGGTCCGCGGGGCCGGAGTCCTCGCAGGCCGCGTAGGTTGTTTGCGGCCAGGTGGCCTCTTGCATCCCGAGCGAAAGACTCCTCCTGGGAAGGGCGTGGAGGGCGGCACGGCGCGTAAGGCCGGCGGGCGCCTGGCCTCGCGCCGCGGGGACGCCCGGCTGGCCCTGGAAGGGAGGGGCGGCCCCGAGCCGGCGGTCGAAGGGAGCTCCGCCCCGGCCCCGTATAAGTGTGCTGGGCTGAGCCGCCCAGGCTGTGGCGGCGGCGGCGGCGGCGGCGGCGGCGGCGGCGGCAGCGGCGGCGCAGGGTGCCCGATCCTGCTCGGACGGCCTGTGGAGCCTCCCACCCGCTTCCATAAGGCTTTGCCTTTCCAACTTCAGCTACAGTGTTAGCTAAGTTTGGAAAGAAGACTACAAGAAGACCCCCGGGCCGTTTCTCTTTTGTTCTTTGCCCTAGCAGTCGTTGGGGTCTTTTTGCACACGGCTGTTGTGTTTTTAGCGGTGCTCTCCTCGGTTCCTTGCACTCCTGTGAACAAGCAGCTCACCAAGAGCAGCGGCAGTAACAGTAGCATCAGAAGAGCAAGCGGGGGGCGCCGGGTGTCATGTCCAAGGCAAGAGAGCAAAACCACCGGGGAGGATGCTGCGGTGAGTAGACCTAATGCATGTGGTGGGCGGTGGAGACGAGCTGCTCCGCGCGGGTTGGGGAGGAATTCGGCTCTGCTGAACCAGAGTGTTTTGTAGCTCCTTTGACTCATTTTGGTGAGGGTCGAGGAAGAAAGGAATTTCAGATTGTGGGGAAAGGGCTTGCACGCAGACGAGGAGTAGACTGAGAGGTTTGGATTGTCTTTTTTTTTTTTCCTTAAAAGAAGGGGAGTTAAAGAATGTTGAAACAAGAGCTTTCTTAACTGTATGTGAGGTTTTGCAGTTATTGACCAATGGGTCGTGGGAATTTAAGTGAGTGGTATTAAGTAAACTGGACACATTTATTACTAGGTGACTTGATAAAAACGTGCATGGTTTATCCCACAAATTAATTTTTAATAATCGTGTTTAATAAGAGAAAATGAAGTAGCATTCCAACCTCAGCTCACTTAAGTGACAAATACGCTTTTTATCCACCGCCCCTCCTGTGTGTCTTTGCAGGATCCATAGCAAACTACCTGACCTCTGCAAAATTCCTTCTCTACCTTGGTCATTCTCTATCTACTTGGGTAAGTGACTATGTACAGTAATTCTTACAACATTCTTGCATAATTTTTTGTTTCATTTGGGCCAATTTTATTAAACCATCTTCCAGGTTTGTCATGCAGCTAAAGAAATAAATCATCCAAATTCACATGTTCTAATGAAAAAGTTTGTTTTCACCAAAGATATTTTCCCGTAGGTGTTAGTAAATGCTATTTAAATATCACACTTTATGTAAATGAACAACTATCCAAAGATAAAATGGAACAAGGACAGGAATATTTGCAATGCTTGTCAATTGTATTTTGCATTACTAGGCTTAGTAAATGGTAACATTTGCTACCTAGAATGGGTGAATGTCTCATGTATCTTCTATTTCACATTTTGAGCCATTTCTCCATTTTCTTCTTTTGTTAAAATGATAAGTTCCAGCATATTGCACTATGACAATACAGAAGAGTGGAGTGGCTGACTTAGGCTAAAAATAGCATTCTAAGATTAATTTAAATATAATTGACCCTAAGAACAAATATCCGAGTGATAAAAATTCTCGACTTTAAAAATGCTGTCCATTGGTAGATATATGTGGGGCATCTCAGGCTATCTTAAAAACCATCATCCACAGAAAATTTGCAAATGATTCATAATTCTCCCTCTGATTTCCTGTGTGGTCCCAGAAGAGTGCCAGTGTTTCTGTGGGCCTGGGTTCCTTCATCAACACCCCAAAAAAGAATAATCCCAAAAGGATGCTGGATGTGTTTCATTAATGATTAGAATCTTTCAAACATTGTTCTTATTGTTGAAAAGCAGTATCTGAATAAATTCTATTTATGTCTCATGTGATATCTCATCTTAAAAAATCATAAATAAGGAGAGAGAATTTTTAGGGTAAATTTTGTGAATGTTATTTTCTTTTTAAATTGGAAACTTCTATTGGATCATCCTTAAGACTTGAATGCAAACTATTGCATGAGGAAATCTGTACTCATGCCCTTGGGAAATTATTAAGCTCGGTTATCAGCTCTTTAAGAAATAGCAGTTCAAAGATGGCTTTGGCTTTTTTAGAAAGGCCAGCTCCTATTTTCCCAGAGGCTTAGACGGGGATGACTCTGCAAATATACGTAAACAAATTGAGTTTGTTTTGTTTCCAGTAGCTGATGGTTCTAAGTAGAAATCTAGTGAAACTACTCTTAATTATATCTAAATCAATAGTTTGTTCTTCCATTTAATTTAATAAGTATTAAGTATTTAAAAAATCAGTAACAGGTGGTGGAGATAGTATCTGAAATTGTCATCTTGTGATCTGGACCTCTCTCTTAGGAGAATGAGGTGCCTCGCTTCCAAATACTCATTACCTTGTTTAATGTTTATGTGACCTTTTGTTATTAGATTGGGAGGTCAGATTTACCAAAAGGGTGGAACTCTAAATGTTCTAGGAGGATCTGTTTGTCATGTTAATTAAGAGTCCCACAAGAAAAGTGACAGACACCCCAATCTTACAGTAAGTTGAGCAAAGGGAGTTCTTGTGGAAAGTTGGATTAAAAAATAAAAAAACCCCCAGCAACTACAACCATATAAGGTTTAGTGGAGTTTTATTTCTTGTTGCAAAAGAGGAATGCTCGCTAACTCTAGATCTAAATTCTGCCTTTCGAGTTTTGTCTCCTGTTTGACAGTGGCTGATTTTACTAGAACAAAATATATGTGCTTATGTATATGTATATACATATATACACATATCTATCCTCCATTTCCCTGGAAACTCTGCCAAATCATGGTTTCCTATACACTGAAAATAGAAGTGTTAGCTTAGAAGGTTATATTTGTGTGGGGTTGAATGCTTTTTATTTCTGTCTGCCAGTAGATCAATGTATTTTACTCTGTATACTATCAAAATACAAACTACTGTAAGAAATGGGTCTTGTTGTTAAGGAGCTTACAATGTGATTTAGTATGGGCTTTAAAAAATGTATCTGGTCATAAAAAGATAACCAACAGTGTAAGGCAGTGGGAAAAGGTGGCCAGTTGCTTATATCTTATGTCATTATGATGGGGTTTTGGAATGTAGGTGAGGTTCAGTGTTGTGGAGTCCAGAGCGGATGACCAAGAAAGAATTCTTGAGACGTCTTTGGTGCAAAATGGTGGTTTATTAAAGCTTGGGGACAGGACCTGTGGGCAGAAAGAGCTCCTGCACTGGGGTTGTGAGGGGTGGCTGATTATATACTTGGGAGTTGGGGGAGGTAAGGAAAAGAGAGGTTTTAAAAGAACTTTCACATGCTGAAGAGGACCCACAAAAGGTACCAGAGGCCTTGGCATTTTCAAGTTAAGGTTGTTTTTCCCTCTAGCAAGGCATTAACAGTAAGATAGTTGGGAGCTTTCCAGAGGAACATTACACTCCGCCCACTTCAAGTATCTGTCAATGGGCTGCAAGTTATAGGCACATTTAATTGAATCTACATTTCCTTCTGGAAGCTAGGTTATTGATAGAAATGCTTTGTTCTTGTAGATTGCTAAGACATTTGTAATCTGAGGGAGACTCCTGTCTTGCAGGATTGTGATCTCTACAAGTTAACTATTTGTTTTTCCTTTCCTTAGCTTTAGGGCAACCAGGAGTGCCTGAGGAATGTCACATATATCCCATGGGGGCGGGGTTGGGGTGTCAGCTTCTGCTTTGTCCTCAGCTTGCCCTTCTGCTCCCTCATCATTTATCCTATGGACTGTCTCTATTCATATCCCGGATGTCTGCATGGCTCCAGCCTTCATTTCCTTCAGGTCTCTGCTCAGAGAGGTCTCTGACTATTTAATGCAAAATGCCACCTTCCTGCTCACGCTACTTTGTATCTCCTCATGGCATTTATACCACCTGGACTGTTCTAGGTTTGCTTTTGGTGTCTGCTCCCTGAGATGCCAGTTACGTGAAAGTACGGACCTTGACTTTTATGTACCACCGAGTTTCTAGTGCTTGCCATAGTATTGGGTCTATAGTAGCCTCTCAATAAGTAGTGAGTGGGTTAATGATTGTGATCATTCATTCACAGATAATCAGTTGGCCGTCAGCCCTCAGTCTGCTGGGGGTAGATGGACATGTAAACAAATCATCAAAGTACAGGGAGAGCACATAGGAGGGCAGGAAATGGATGTAAGGAAGGAATGGGTGGGCTCGAAATTGCACTTGGTCAACATTTACTTAGACTTTGCCTGATTCTTGGGCTTTGTGGGCATGGAATCTGTTACCACTTAAAGCCTAAACCCTTTAGGAATTGGGGTAACTGGGGCAATTTTATGCCTCTCCATCGAGGAGGTGTCATGCCATACAAGGATAAACAAGAAAGAAAATTTTCATTTAGTAGCACTTGTTTTGAGGCCGACTATACCTCTACAGATGTACCTGTACATCTAAAACAAATCTTTTGGGTAAAAAATAGGAGTCCAAAAACAAAGAAAGAAAAAAGCAATAGAAATAGAGTAATATCTTTTATTCTTTAGGTTGAGAAAGAGGAAATTCACTCATGGAGGCGACCTGTCATTAAGGGCATTTGTATGTTTTTTGTCTTTTCCTTGGGAGCTGTTCAGAGGAATGGAGATTAAGATAAAGTAGGGGAGGTACTTTACTTACTCTTTATTCTTTTCTTATGGGAGGTACTTACTCTCCCCATGCCATTGTATTCTAACTCAGTCTAGATTTGCTTCTCCTGTTAAAGACTAAGAAAAGTTTGTTATTCTTATTGACATCCTTATCTTAATAGAAATTTGTCTTTTTATTGGTTTCAAACAAATTGTATGTGTATCATACATTTTTAATCATTTAGTACAATGGTATTTGAAACTTAAATAAATCCTCCTTAATTTAAGTGGGAAAACTTTTATTATCAAAGCAAACACACAAGCTGTGTTAGAAATATTAATTACGGTACTGATTAATCCTCAAACTTTTGAACATTCACGGAACAAATCTAATGTACCAGAACAATGTGATTGATAAATCAGTCTAGGTTTTTGTCACTTATATAATATTTACTCATTCACAACTGGGATTCACAGCATTTCCACTCCTTTGTTGATTCCGCAGTATCTAATCTGGGCCATGCGCTCTCTGAGGTTTGAGAGTGCAGAATGTTCTAGAGCTCACATTCGTTTCCTATAGTGATTTCCAGGGATAGGTTATAATAGAACATCGTTGTCCTGTTTTATGTTAACTCAGAGGTGAAAGATGGAGCCAAAAATCTCATAATAAGGTCCATTATAGATTTCTTACACATTCCAGGCCATCAAGTTACAATCAGTCTTTCAGACATGGTGCTTCCACTGGCTTCCAGTGTTTGTTTTAACATTTACTTGACCATATCCACCCCATCCACCAAGGCCCTACTATGTTAATTTTGAATTGCATTTCCTTTTTTTAAAATTATTTTATTTATTTATTTGACAGACAGAAAGAGAGAGAGAGAGAGAGAGCGAGCTCACAAGCAGGGGGTGCAGCGGGCAGAGGGAGAGGCAGGGGGAGAGACGGAGAAGCAGGCTCCCCGCCGAGCAAGGAGCCCGATGCGGGGCTCGATGCGGGGCTCCATCCCAGGGCCCTGGGATAATGACCTGAGCTGAAGGCAGACGCTTAACCTGACGCAGCCACCCAGGTACCCCTTGAATTGCATTTCTAAATTATGTTCATAATCCCCTACATCACGGCTTCTTTACCTTGGTACTATTGCCATCTTGGGCTGAATAATTCTTTGTTGTGGGAGATGGCCTTAGGTATTGTAGATGCCAGAAGTACCCCCACTCCCTGCCCCCAGAATTGTGACAACCCAAAACAGTTTCAGACATTGCCGAGTGATCCCTGGAGGTAAAATCACCCCCGCAGAGAAATACTGGTCTACATGAAGTTTATTGTACATGATTGCTATTGTATAATGTGCATCAATTTTAAATTTTGAATGCATAGGATTGTTGTCTTGGCTTTATTAAATTGTTTAAATCATTTGATAGACCAAGATAATACTTTGCTCCTGATACATTAAATTTATCAAACAGATTTTAAGAGACTTTGGAAAGAACCAGGACTCAGTACTTCCATATAGGGTCAAATCCATAAGGAGCCTAGCCTGGGAATTTTGTTTCCTGTAGTGATTTCCAGGGATAGGTTATAATAGAACATTGTTGTCCTGTTTTATGTTAACTCAGAGGTGAAGGATGGAGCCAAAAATCTCATAATAAGGTCCATTATAGATTTCTTACACATTAATTTCCCTGACTCATTTAAAAGTTTTTGTTTTTTCTATATTTTCCAGTGTTGAATTCCAAAATTTCCTATATAGTCTGGAGTGAAGAAATAAGTAGTTTTTTTTTTTTCCTTTCAAAACCCATTTGTATTAAAATGTTCAAATGAAAAACTGCTTATGCATTTATTTCTGACATTTTTGTAAATGTGGTGCCAGAATTTGCCCATATTAATTTCACCTTTCTGAGCCCTGCTGTTTTTTGACTTTGAAATTTATTTGTGAAATAGAGCATAGATTTTAGAATGTTAGAGGTAAAAGAAACATTAAAGATCATACGGTTCATTCTTATCAGTTTACAAATTGGGAAGCTGGCTTTTTCTTGACATTCAAGGCATATGAATATTTGTGAACTAGATTGTAGTTTCATTCTGGTTTGGTAGCAAACTACTTTATGCCTCTCAAATCAGAATAGATCAATTCCATACCCAGGTAGAAACCTGACATGAAAGGGAACAAGTTTTGTCTCCAAAAGCCTTCTTTGGAGACATCCAAATGGCCAACAGACACATGAAAAAGTGCTCAACATCACTTGGCATCAGGGAGTACAAATCAAAACCTCAATGAGATAACACCTACACCAGTCAGAATGGCTAAAATTAACAAGTCAGGAAGCAACAGATGTTGGTGAGGATGCAGGGAAAGGGGAACCCTCCTACGCTGTTGGTGGGAATGCAAGCTGGTGCAGCCACTCTGGAAAAACAGTATGGAGGTTCCTCAAAAAGTTGAAAATAGAGCTACCCTACCACCCAGCAATTGCACTACTGAGTATTTCTCCCAAAGATACAAATGTGGTGATCTGAAGGGGTGCGTGCACCCCAATGTTTATAGCAGAAATGTCCACAATAGCCAAACTATGGAAAGAGCCCTGATGTCCATCAACAGATGAATGGATAAAGGAGATGTGGTATATATATACAATGGAATATTATGCAGCCGTCAAAAAACCGAAATCTTGCCATTTGCAACGATGTGGATGGAACTAGAGGGTATTATGCTAAGCGAAATAAGTCAATCAGAGAAAGACAATTAGCATATGATCTCACTGATATGAGGAATTTGAGAAACAAGACAGAGGATCATAGGGGAAGGGAGGGAAAAATGAAACAAGATGAAACCAGAGAGGGAGACAAACCATAAGAGACTCTTAATCTCAGGGAATGAACTGAGGGTTGCTAGATTGGAGGGGGGTGGGAGGGATGGGGTAGCTGGGTGATAGACATTGGGGAGGGTATGTGCTATGCTGAGCACTGTGAATTGTGTTAGACTGAAGAATCACAGACCTGTACCCGTGAAATAAATAATACATTATATGTTAATAAAAAAAAAAAGCCTTCTTTGGCATGGAAACTACATTTTTTCTAGAGTGATAAGGAGTGGGTGTGTTTCATTAATATCATGCCCTTCTGGGTTTACTTAGTAAATGGGCCAGAATATTTTCCATTGGGCCATGATGGATGGTTTTTAACACCTGACCCATATTCAATTCATAGAGGAGTTGTTGACTTTGAAAATCTCGTGGCATAGCCAAAAAGTACCTTTTTGATAAGGAAGCAACTTCCTGAGTATACTTGACTAGAAAGTAAAAATAATTTCATCAAAACATTTTCTCTTTTCTCATTCAAGGGAGATCGGATGTGGCACTTTGCCGTGTCTGTGTTCTTGGTAGAGCTCTATGGAAACAGCCTCCTCTTGACTGCAGTCTACGGGCTGGTGGTGGCAGGGTCTGTTCTGGTCCTAGGAGCCATCATTGGCGATTGGGTGGATAAGAATGCCAGACTTAGAGGTGAGTACTGGTAAACTAAGGCTTTGTATTTGTGGGACCCATGCCTGAGCTTAAGAGAAATCTCTGTGACTAACCCATTACGGGTCTGCCTGCCACACCTGAGGGATGGGATGCTCGATGGCAGCTCTTCTGCCTAGAGGGTCCTGGGGCCCCTGCACAAAATTGGAATGCCAAGATATTAAGCTTATAGGTTTTTTTTTTTTTTTTTTTTTTGATCTTTGGCTGTTCATAAATTCCAGATGTTAATAATTAATACCATAGCTCTTTTCTGGGAACCATGTTAAACATTAAAAGTTTGCTTAACTCTGGCATTCTTTCTTACCATGATCTGCACTGAAATTTGCTAGTGTGATGTTGCTGGGACATCTGTCCTCTGGGTTACAGTGTTTCACATAGAGGTGTGTGTAGGGGAATCGAAAACTATAGATTTAAGAGAGTATATGAGTCTGGATTATGGAGAGCTGAATTATAAATTTTTGAGAGAAAAAGAAGAAATGATAATATAAAGACATTTATTCTAGCACATTAGTGCTGAAATCATTCAGTTTTATACAACAAAGAGAGAAAGTGATTGAACAATTCAGTTGTGCAGAATATAAGGGCAATGTGAATAATAAGTCAGGGCAAAATTTTCCTGAATTACGCAGTTGGTAATGCCAAGACCTGGCCATGTCCATCTTAGACATTGGAGAAAGATTGATGTATCAGTTTCTTTCAGTGCAGGATGACTGCCCCTGGATAGAGAGCAATTTGAGTCATCAAATTCTAGGACTTGATGCTATTAGTGAAATGGTCAAGATACATTTGTTTGTCTTGAGAATGGATAGACCAAAACACATATAAAGTGAAGTTTTGTATACTAGAAAAACATTCCTAGTTGTTTACATCGTTATTTATGGGAACATAGGAATATTATACATTCAGACCTTTTAACCTTAATGATTGTCGAACACTGAAAATCTAGGTTGGGAATGTTGAGTTGGATGAAAAAGTGTGTGGTGGGATAGCAATCTCCCATTTATCCCATGAAACCAGCTCCTATGTCACCTTCCATGAAAATCTCTGATGTTTCTAGGCTGAGTTAATCATTTCTTCCGTTGTGCTCCCAGAAGGCTTTGTCAATACCTCTGCTGTTGTACTTACACTCTTAAAGTTATCTGTTCACGTATCTTTCCTTCCTCTGGTCTGTGGGCTCCTAAAAACTAAAAGGACCTCATGTAGTTGATATTTAATCCTTGTGCAATGAAAGAATGAGTTCTCTGTTGGGATTTCATTCCAAATTAATTTCAGAAAGCAGTTTGTTTGAGGCTTTTATATGACCTTCCAAGCCAGAATGAGCTTTGCTGCCCTTGAAGACAAGAGTTATAATTATACCTTACATATACAACTCTCTATATTTTTCAAAATACTTCCATGAGTATTTTATTTAAGCATCATAATGACCTTGTAAAGTAAAGAAGGCAGGAATGGGTTATCATTCTCACCTCATAGACACAGACATATGAGACATTATGTATCTTGTCCTAGATCACCTCCCCTAGTGTGTGGCAGAGAAGAGACTGCAAGTAAGACTGTGGGTGTCCTTACTTGGTATACTGACTGTCCTTACTCCAATACTTAGTCCACATGGGTGCCTCACTCCAAGGAAGTTGGCATTTTTTGTGAAGAAAGGTGTACCTTAGAATTTCATAGCATGGCATATAGCATTAGAATGCCCAGAGGGACACACTGCTGCTCTTTATTCTTGGTGAATTTTTATGTCTTGCCTATTTATCCAGACCATCTGATCTTACCAGATTCCGCTTACCCTGGAGGAGGTTATGGATGCCATGACTTCTTCCTTAACCTCTTCTATAACTTCCTACATATTCTTATTTTAGCTTAAGCAGCAAAGAGCTGAAAGATGGAGCTTGTCTATGTAATATAGTTCTGTTTATGACAGTAAACCTTTAAGAGAATACACTAAATGAAAATGTGGTCATTATGAATGGCTTCAACTAGTAGGAAAAATGGTGAATACTTCATTCTTTATGCAAGTTTTACTGGTCTGGTGTGATATGGTGGGTCCTACTGGAAATAGTTCATTCAAGATTTACTTCAGGAATTTTTTTTTCTTATAATAATTTTCATATGCATGAATGTAGTAGAACAGGGATGTGTGGACAAAAACGGGTCCATTGAGATGTTCTGGTATAGTGAATACTTTGTTTCTCCCTCTATGCAGTGGCTCAGACTTCGCTGGTGGTACAGAATGTTTCGGTCATCCTGTGTGGGATCATTCTGATGATGGTTTTCTTACATAAAAATGAGCTTCTGACCATGTACCATGGATGGGTTCTTGTAAGTTCCCAGTGGGATTCCTAATGGTAGAAAATAGAACCTGGTATTGGTAAAAAATGAAAACCCTTTGAGACTAGGGAATATCTTTTCACAAAGACACTATTGATCTCTATGTCCACTTTAACATTCCCCTACAGTTATTATGTTTTGTTTTTGTTTGTTTTTTTGTCCATAGTAGGCACTCATTAAGTATTATTTGAATTTTAACTTTGTTCAGTTGTTTTTTTATTTGTTTTTGATGGCATTTCTAAGAGTTTATTATAATTCAGTTTTTAGTTTTCAGCTCACAAGTATTAACCTGTAATTTGTTCACATTATATAAGAAATGTTATCCATATATTTATCAATATGTCATGATTGTGTTCCTCCAATAATAATTGGTATTTATGTTTGGGGTCATGGACTAGGTAACTTCTCATACTAGGGTCTCGTGATAGCTTGATGAAAAAAGGAGAGGGCGCCTGGGTGGCTCAGTTGGTTAAGCCACTGCCTTCGGCTCAGGTCATGATCCTGGAGTCCCGGGATCGAGTCCCGCATCGGGCTCCCTGCTCGTCGGGGAGTCTGCTTCTCCCTCTCCTGCTCCCCCCTCTTGTGCTCACTCTCTCTCTCAAATAAATAAATAAAATCTTTAAAAAAAAAAAAAGAAAAAAGGAGAAAGATTTGGGGAGGGGGTGGAAAACAACGGACTTGATGTCACTCTTGGATCTTCTTAAAAGTTTAGACTGATATTGTAGAGTCAAGGCCAGGTGGGACATTAGAAATTTTCTAGAGTGTTCCCTTTATTTTGTTAATGAAAAAATTAAGGCAAAGTGATGTTAGTTGATTACCCATTGTCATGCAACTAAAAGTGTCAGAACTCTGATTTCAGTACAGGTCTTCTCACTTCCCCTTCAGTGGTTTTTTCCAAAGGAGATATTCTGGGGAGAAATTACAAACTTACCCCCATGTTAACGCTTATTATGATAACTATGTCACATGAAAGTACATATGATTTTTACAATTTTTGTATGATGTGTATTATAGATGACACGGATTAGGAACGCTTTAACTTGACCACTGGTACCTTAATGTTTCATGTCTACAAAGTAAAATGATTTCTTATGATTTTATGAAATGAAGTTAAAATTTTATTATTATGCCATCAAAGACCATTTTAAACTACATTGTGCAGTGAAGTAGGTACCGTGTGATCAAACTGACATTTTAACTCCACTTTTTCTTGTAATTCCTTAGACTTCCTGTTATATCTTGATCATCACTATTGCCAATATTGCAAATTTGGCTAGTACTGCCACGGCCATCACCATCCAAAGGGACTGGATTGTTGTCGTTGCAGGAGGAGACAGAAGCAAATTAGCAGGTAATTTGGTGTTCTCTTTGAAGTAAATGGGTTATATTAGGATTCACTTTAAGTCAGAGGTAGTAAATGAAGCTTAAGTCTTTTTTTCTGGGTATTTAAAAAAAATATTTTATTTATTTATTTATTTGATGGGGGTGGGGGAGCATAGGGAGAGGGGAAGAATCTCAAGCAGACTCTATGCTGAGTGCGGAGCCTGATGTCCCACGAGCCTGATGTCCCACGACCCTGAGATCGTGACCTGAGCCAAAATCAAGAGTTGGCCGCTTAACCAACTGAGCCACCCAGGTGCCCTCTTCTAGGTTTTTTTTTTTATTATTATTTAAAGATTTTATTTATTTATTTGAGAGAGAGCACATGAGAGGGGGGAGGGGCAGAGGGAGAAGCAGACTCCCCGCCGAGCAGGGAGCCCGACGCGGGACTCAATCCAGGGACTCCAGGATCATGACCCGAGCTGAAGGCAGTCGCCCAACCAACTGAGCCACCCAGGCGCCCCTCTTCTAGGTATTTTTAAAGAACGATATATTGAAAACAGTCTTTGTCTTATCATCACATTATCAGTCTCCGTGCAATGATTTATCTCACTGTTAGGAAGTTAATTTATGAGATAGTGAACTTTTATTTATGCAAACCTGGCAAGTAGAAGAACATTCCTTTTGAGCTCTTTGTTTTAAATTCTGATCACGGTCTCTAAATGTTTGCTTAATACTTAGAACAGTGAAAATCTACATGATATTATATCGTCATACTATGGATATTATTACCAGTACTAACTGGTCATACTATGGATTTTATTTTTCTCCAAAACAAATGGAAACATCTTAGTCCTAAAAGAGACTCTAATAGTTAATTCCTTCAACTTTAAAATTACAATCTATAACTTTTATTACACTATATACGATGCAATGTAATTGCTGTTACAAATACTAAAGAAAATTGAGGCCGGAATATGGTTTTCAAGAAGCTTACAATCTTAGTTGTCCATTGGAAACATATATAAGAGGCCAGAGAAAGATGAAAAGATGCTTATAAAGCATCATGTCCTATCACATCGATATTACTTGGGTGCAGAATAACTCACCTCACTCAACCTTCCCTACCTGCCCCTTGACACAGACACACATTGGATTGATAATTACACAGAGTGAAGGAGGAGGGGTACACCTATCTACTGATCAGATCAGCTGAATCAGTTCTGCTGTCACTGAGATAATGGGTACCACAAACCTGTTGCCCAACCATCCTGACAGACAAGAAAGCCATTGCTGATGATTTAAATGGCTTATCCTAGGACACAGAAGGCAAGATTAGGTGCTGGGGATAGCAAGCAACTTTGGGCCATGTGGCTGAAAAAAGGCAAGGAGGTGGTGACAGAAAGGAAGCGAAATCTATGGAAGGTCCAAACGAGGAAAGAGGGGAATTTGCTTAAATCATCACTTTGTGGGGCGCCTGGGTAGCTCAGATGGTTAAACGGCTGCCTTCGGCTCAGGTCATGATCCCAGGATCCTGGGATCGAGCCCCGCATTGGGCTCCCTGCTCTGCGGCTCCCTCTCCCTCTACTGTTCCCCCCACTTGTGCTCTCTCTCTGTCAAATAAATAAATAAAATCTTTAAAAAAAAATCATCATTTTGTTATAGCAACGTTATAATCGAGACAGAAATATCACAGTGATTTTAGAGGATGATGTTTGAATAGGATGAATTTAGCACGTGTGAGTATACCATATGACATTCTTTCTAGAGGTGAAGTAGTGATTCTCATTGATTTTTTTTTCCTTCCTGTAATCATTTACTAATGGGAAATAATTCCATATCTCTTTTTGTCGCACTGAACTTAAGATAAGGCTATGTCCTTTTTTGTTTGTTTTTTTCCTTGTTATTTACTTTATTTAACCTACTATTTTAAGTATGTAATACATGTCCATGGTTTAAAATTCAAAGGGTATAAGAAGATGTGTTTTGAAAAGAGGTCACATACGTATCTGTTAGAATATACTTGGGAGAAAAAGTTGGCTTTTAAAGTGACTTTCTTTCTCTTAATCTGAATTTCTTAACTCATTTTGACTCTGTGAAGTCTCTACACTCCGGGGGAAAAAAATCTGGAGTAAAGTGAAAGTTACTCAGAATCTTTAATTTGTTCTAAATTCGTATATAAATAAATAACAAAAAACAAAGATTCCATATAACTTTGTGGGCTTTTTGATGTCCCCAAACAACAACAAAAACAGGGCCATTTCTCAACTGTCCTTTATTATTAGGAATAATTGCAGAGTGGGAGAATCTAGGCCAGCCAGCCTATTTTCTAACCTTCTGGAATTTCTCAAGTTTAAGAAAGGAAGTGAGCTGCCTATCGAACTTTGGTCCACTGTGAAGTAGCTTTTAGTAAGCGGTGCTTTTTTGCATCCAGCTAGTAGTGCAGGTTAGTAGCCTAGCGAAGGGAAACCTCTGTGTTGTCTTTCTTCAAGTTTTAACATCAGCATTTGTTAAAAAAAATTAATTAAAAACCATGCTTCAAAGTAAGATAGAAACTTTTTTAGTTCAGAAGGTCAGCAAGGGTCTAACTGTGGATTTTTGGTGCCATTTCTGCTATAAGGCAGAGTTATAGAAGAGACAGACAGCAGGAGGAGAGAGGAAAAACAGAGAAGGGGAAAAGTACACGTCGAGGGGACTCAAACTGCCACCTCGGGTACTTCTGAGGTTGAGTCTCTGGACACAGACACACCTGCTCCACTCAGGAATCATGGATGTTTCTGCAGGCCGAGTTTTGAGGCCCCAGCCAAAACTGTGAGGAACCTCAGCAGGGGACTAGGCAGGGATGCTGAAGCTGGGTGCGCCCTGTGTGTGCCCGTCTGTGAAGGGGAAGGGCTGTGAGCACAAAGAAGGGAGGTTGTGAGCTGGGTGATAACTGTTCCCATTTCCTTACCCCAGTGTTTCTTGATTTCAGAGTAGGTTTTTAAGTTGGAAGTTGTATCACCGAGGGTAAAAGAACAAACAAACGCAGGAGAAATTTTCCCTGGAAGGTGAAAAAATTTTAGAATTTCAGTGACATCCGGCCAAACTATAGCTGTTAACATCTAGTTTGGACAGTTCCAGAAAAGGAATTGTTTTTCTACCTAAATACCATTAATTAACCAGTTAACTAATTTGCCTCGGTACTTGGTTTAGTATTTTATTAAAACATTCTCTTGTGCCGTGACCCTTAGCCTGTAAAACCTGTTTGAAATTCACTTCCTTTTCCCAGACTTTCCCCTCTGTTTTATTTCCTTCCCAGTTTTCTTTGTTAACCACTCTTTATTAATAGCTTCTGAGGTTTGTTGTGTTTTTTTTTTTTGTCCTCTGTCTTAAAGAAACATCTGCTGGTTAGCTTGTTCACGTATGGCAGATACATTTCTTATTTGAACTCTATTGACTAAAAATTGATCTCATATTTAAGGTAGACAGACGTCCTAGCTGCTACTTGCTCAGCAGGTCTGTTTATTATTCTTTTTTTTTTTATCCTATGAGATTGAATATATACCTTATAATAGCAAGTAGCTATTTAATGTCATGTTCTGTGCCTTAGCTGTAGCTGAAAACAGTTAAGTTGGAGTTAAATGAGCACACATTGTGTGTTTGCATAGGAATAAAGAGAAATTTGTAAAAAGGACGTGTTTGCATATTCAGAGGACTGATTCTTCTCTAGCCTGTTACCAGTAAAATGATTAGGTCTTTTTCAAAAATCATTATATAATTCATTCTGCTTCAGAGAGATAAAAGCTGCTTCCTGATGCTACATTACACTTAAACATTATCAGCCTCCTAAGCATAATATAGAAGCTAGAATTTGGTGGCATTAGGAAGCTTCCAGAGCACTTGAAACCTGAGGTAGTGCAAGAATAGCAAATCATTATAATTAAATTAATTTTGCTATTGTTCTGTGGTTTTCAGAATGTGCAGATGCTTTCACTAGTCCTCAATTTTTGGAATAAAAATACTGAGTTATTTGAATCAGTTCTGCACTTGTCTGTTAGCATAGGAGTTGGAAACTTATTGGTGGGGGGCAGATGGAAGTTAGCAAGGCCTCTGCAAAAAATGGTCATGTGTAAGATCAAGGCAAACTGCCTTTGCCTCTCAAGTGAAAGGTGAACCGTGTCAAAGTTCTCCTGTTATCATGTAAACCTTATACACTCATAGGACTAATTGGAAGGCTGTTGAGGACCAGGAAGAATTAGAGAAGGAATAAAGGCAATTTTCTGTTAATGCACTTATTAGTCACGCATTGCTTTTCCCTTAAGGTGCCCGACACGAATGATAAGGATTTGTCTCATTAATTCCACTCTACTCTGTGAGATAGAGAATAAGAAAATAGGTCATTTTCGGGACTCTTTTATTCATCTTGTCTTCCACTCTGACTTAGCTATATGTTCCCGTGGTCATACCCTAGGCTTTGTCATCACCACTAAAGCCTCCCCTCCGGTGATCCTAATCTTAGGCATTCATGTCTTAAATTGCCACCTCCTATCTTTCCAGCTCCTTCCTTCTGGAACCCCTACCCCAACAGTCTTCCAACCTGATTGTCACCTACAGGTCATTAAATCCACTTCCTTTTCACTATCTGTGACCCCTCTTGTCTCCCCTCCTTACCCAGCTGAAATTCCAAGGTCAGGCCTTCCGACCACCTCTGATCACCTCCTAGCATATACCCTCAGTTCAGTTGGCCTCTCCTCCTTCTGTCACTTTTCTTTTGTAAGATGCTGGTTAAATCCAATTCTCTACAGTAGAACAGGGCTGGAGAAAAATGCACAGTTGTGCTCACTTAAAGTTTGTGACCATTGGGTTCAAGTTGGCCCTTTCATGCTGCCCGGTGATCCTACTACTTTCTGTGGTCCCTTCCTCCTCCCACTTTCCTAAAGGACTGGGTCTCACTTTCTCCTTTTCCCTCATACAGCTCATCCATTCCATACCTCCTCTCCCATCCTCACTTTCAGTAATGATCTCGCTTTGTGTTTTACTGAGAAGATAGGAGAAACGAGAAGTTAAACGTGCTCTCACTGTCACATCTGCCTGAAGCCGTGTGTGTGGCCCGCACTCTTGCTCATAGTGATGGGCTTGCTCCCATCTAAGAATAAGCCTTCTACTCTTCTACTTGTGGTTCCAGGATGGTTCAGAGTCCATCCCTTCTCATCTGCCCATTCCCAGCAGCCTAGAGATACGCAATAATTTTGCTCTTAAACATTTTTATCTCTCTCTACACCTCTGCCAGCCCATTTCTTTGTTCACCTTTCAACAAAACTTAAGAAAATGATGTCTTTGCTCACTCTTTCCAATTCCTCTCCCTGGTCAGGGCTTTGCTTTCCATAATGCCAGGGGGCAGCATTCACGCTGTGAATCGAGGGAGTGCCACTCACTTAAAATATAATATAAATGGTATCTCCTGGAGTTGGCTCCAGTCTCTTAAACCAACTTCAGTCAGGTATTTGTCCTTACTGCTCTACCAGAACCACTCTTTTTTGAAGTCCCCAGTACCTGCCATGTGACCAGTCTAGAGCTGCTTCTCTGTGCTCGTCTTCCTTGACCTATCAGCAGCTCTTGCAAGTTGATTACCCCCTCTTCTTAGAAACAGTGGTGCCCATGGCTTCTAGGATACCACACTCTCCTGGTTTTTCTCCTCTTTCACTAGTTCCTCTTCATTTTCCTGACCTCTAAACATTGACATGTCTAAGACTCAGTCCTCAGATCTTGTCTCTTCTGGATCTACACACTCAGTCCCTTGGTTGACCGCATCCAGTCTCACTGCTTTAAAACTCAACCACCTGGTTTGCCTGGGTGGCTCAGTCGGTTAAGCATCTGACTTTCGGTTTTGGCTCAGGTCATGATCTCAGGGTCATGCGTGGAGTCTTCTTGTCCTTCTCCCTCTGCTCCTCCCCTCACTCATGTGTGCTGTCTCTCTCTCTCTCAAATAAATAAATAAAATCTTAAAAAAACCCACAAAAAAACAAAAAACAAAACTCAACGAGCTGATGACTACTGAATCTGGCACATATTTCTTCCTTGAAGTCCAGACATATTTAACTGCCACTTGATGTGGCCTCTTGACTGTCAGTAGGCCTATGAAAATCAGCGTCTCTAAACTAAATGCTTGTTCTCTTGCCCCAAACCTGATCCTTTTGAAGCCTTTCCTTTCTCAGTAAGTGGCAACTCTATCCTTCTAATAGTTGCTCAGGAAAAAAAAAAAACCAAAAACTTAAGAGTCCTCCTTAATTCTTCTCTTTCTCTCACACCCCATATCTAATCAATTTGCAAGTCTTTCTATCTTTGAAGTACATCCAGCACCTATCTCCATCCCCATTACTGTCCTGGTTTATGCCACATCATTTTCTACCTCTCGTCTTGCCTCTACTCTTGTCTGCAAATCTCTCCCTCTCATGCCCCAGTCTTTTCACACCACAGAAGCCAAAATGAACCTTTAAAAATATAAGTCGGACTGTGCCACCTCTCTGTTCATTAGCTTCCAAAGGCTTCCTGATGCATTCATTGTCAAAGTCAACATCCATATAATGTTCACAAGACCCTACATGATTGGGCCAGTCTGCCCTCCCTCTCTGTCCTCATCTCTTCCTCATTGTTCTCCAGCCCTACCAGCCTCCTTGTTGTTCCTCTAACACTGTAGGCAGCTCCTCCTGCCCCAGGTCTTTTGTACTCTCCTTGGTCTGGAATCCTCTTTTTACTAATATCCACACAACTGGCTCTTTTTCCTCCTACTGCTTCATGTCTTTGCTATGATGCTCTTTTCTTCAGTGAGTCCTCTCCTGACCTTGCCATATTTAAAACTGAAATTTCTATTTTCCCCTGAGCATTCTCTATGCCCTTTTTGTGCTTTATTGTTCACCCTAATATTTAATTAACATCTGACATGCTGTATATGTATATGCTTGTTGATTTACTCTTTCTTTTCCCATGGGAAGGTAAACTCAGGGCAGAATACTCTTCATGTTCTTTATAGTGACAGAATTGGTGCCTAGCTCATAATGGGCATTTAATAAATGTTTGTTGAAAAAATGAATAAAGAATCACCATTCATTTTAAAAGCTGATGTCAGACTAATTCATGCAATCCCAAGGGATTCATGATTTTTGAGGCAAATTTAATATGACTTGTTCCAAACAATAGATTATTTGCAAAAAATGGTTTGCTCGGAATGCTTTTGGAAATTTGCATTTTAGGAATCTATATACTTGGATTATAAGTTTGTATTATGTAAGTGGGCAGTCTGTCTTTGATAGGTTTACACACTTATCTACCTCTTTTATCTACCTCTGTAGATATGAATGCTACAATACGAAGAATTGACCAGTTAACCAACATCTTGGCCCCCATGGCTGTTGGCCAGATTATGACATTTGGCTCTGCAGTCATTGGCTGTGGCTTCATTTCGGGGTGGAATTTGGTGTCCATGTGTGTGGAATACTTTCTGCTCTGGAAGGTTTATCAGAAAACACCTGCTCTAGCTGTGAAAGCTGCTCTTAAAGTAGAGGAAGCTGAATTGAAACAGCTGAATTTACATAAAGGTAAGCTCAACACAATGGTCTGTTCCTTTTATTCTGATGTTCAGACCTTAAATGTTGATGAAGACAAAAACTACTTTGAATTTATATCCGGTTTATTACTGTTGAAGGAGTTAAATATATGAATCAAACCCAGGCTTTTGACGGCCTGAGGAGCAACTCTGGGTTGAATCTCAGGGAGTTGGAATGAGACCCCTGACCCTTTTCCTTAATATGAGCAGTAGACATGGAGGGGAAATTAATTGAGGGATGGCTGGGAAAAATTGAGTCATAGGAATAGGAAGAACAATGGGGGGGGAAGGGAATAAGAGAATTCATTAGAGTCTGTGAAGAGGAGTTACATGACTATTTGTAGAACAGTGGAAGGGAGTGCGGACATGAAGGTGGGCATTTCCCACAAAGAGGAAATTGGGCTTCTGGCCAAATAGAATCTTAACGGGGCCCCAGAAAATAAAATGCTGTAGTTTTCCAGACAATTACTATATTTTTATTTGATGGGTTTTCCTGTTATTTACTTTGGTGGGAGTATAATTTCTTTTTTTTTTTTTTTTTTAGGTGGGAATATAATTTCTAAGGGGGTCAGTGGGGAAAGGGAGACAGACCATAGGAGAGAGGGGTATCAATAGTATGTTGTTTATTTAACGTAAATGCTACTTGGAGATTGTTCCTTGGCTGAAATTCTTAGATTAGTAAAAGAAAATACATATTATATTGATATATATAATGATGTCTTTTATTAATAGAAACTGAGCCAAAATCCCTGGAGGGAACTCATCTAATGGGTGAGAAAGGCCCTAATGTCCATGAGCTTGAAGTTGAGCAAGAGCCAAGCTGCGCCTCCCAGATGGCTGAGCCCTTCCGCACCTTCCGAGATGGATGGGTCTCCTATTACAACCAGCCGGTGTTTCTGGCGGGCATGGGTCTTGCTTTCCTCTATATGACTGTCCTGGGCTTTGATTGTATCACCACAGGGTACGCCTACACTCAGGGGCTGAGCGGGTCTATCCTCAGTATTTTGATGGGAGCATCAGCCGTCACTGGAATAATGGGAACCGTGGCTTTTACTTGGCTCAGGAGAAAATGTGGCCTGGTGCGGACGGGCCTGATCTCAGGATTTGCACAGCTTTCCTGTCTGATCTTGTGTGTCATCTCTGTGTTCATGCCTGGAAGCCCCTTGGACTTGTCTGTTTCTCCTTTTGAAGATATCCGTTCTAGGTTCATTCAAGCAGAACCACTGTCCACGATGACCCCTACAAAAATACCTGAAAGCATCTTGACAACTGAAACGTACATGTCAAACAGGTCTGACCCTGCTAATATTGTCCCAGAGATGAGTCCTAAATCTGTGCCCATAATCTCTGTCAGTCTGCTATTTGCAGGCGTCATCGCTGCTAGAATCGGTAAGTCCTCTCTCTGTGTGTTGATGAGCTAAAGTGTCTTTCTGCAATGCAGGTTCAGAAAACTCCACAATAAATGACCTGAAATATTCCCGAGTGTTAATTTAAGCAAAATCCATTATTTATCCTTAGGTATGATCCAGTCTTTAATTATGAAATCTTTATTTTATAGTTTAAAATATAGTGTGTATATAGGTACCTATACTGTCTTAACATGATTAGGGCTTGAAATTTTTTTTTTATAAATGAACATCTTAAGTATTACTCCTATTGTAATTTAATTTTCAAAAAGATAGCTATAATAATTATAATGCCATTTAGTAATTTGGAATCTTTATATTGCTATAACTCTGCCAAAAGGACTATTATAATTAGGGAATACTTGTATAGGACAAAGTAAAAAAGATAGTGTTTTTGGTTTCAAAAAAAAAAAAAAGGCATGGTAGCTGGAAGAAAAGTCCTTCAAAAAGTCTCTCTAGCTTATGTGTGTTTATAGTATACTTTGCCAAACAAATGGATTTTATAGCTCTGGAAGGAAACACACTGTAAAGACCTCTTACAAGGCAAAATTTAATTATTAATAGAGTACTGATGAATTATCTCTACCTGAATTTGTTCTTGAAATGAAACCGTATTTATCTTGTGATACAAAGCAATTCATTAATTTATCAAAGACAATTAATATTCAAGCAAGACAGCTTTATTGTAGCAGCTTTAGAACCCAAGCAGTAAATGTAATAATGGTTTAAAGTTTCCTTAAACTTTAACCATAAGAATATATTAATACATTCACTTTAAGCCTTCTAATACTTGAGATTTATTGTCTCTGATTTCAGAGTTTTGCTTTTGTAGTATAAACACAGAAAAATAGAATTAAGAAGTTTGTAGATTAGACTTATTTTTGGATGGTGTGGAAGCTATAAAAATCATTTCTTGAAGCCATTAGTAAACCAGTATTTTGTATCTTATTTTATTTTTTATTTTTCAAGTCTTTATTTAAATTCCAGTTAACTAACATACAGTGTAATATTAGTTTCAGGTGTAGAATTTAGTGATTCAACACTTCCTTAACACACCAGTATTTACTGATGAGAAAGAATTCTCAAAGACAAGGCTATGATGAATATATATATACACAGTGACTTTAAGGTACTAGAGATAAATGTATATTTTGCACATGTCAGCATTTTTAAACTGTAAATCTGAGATGTAAAGCTATAAATTAAAATTCAGTCTTTACCAATTATCTTTTATTAATAGGTCTTTGGTCCTTTGATTTAACTGTGACACAGTTGCTGCAAGAAAATGTAATTGAATCTGAACGAGGCATTATAAATGGTGTACAGAACTCGATGAACTATCTTCTCGATCTTCTGCATTTCATCATGGTCATCCTGGCTCCGAATCCTGAAGCGTTTGGCTTGCTCGTATTGATTTCAGTCTCATTTGTGGCAATGGGCCACATCATGTATTTTCGATTTGCCCAGAAGACTCTGGGCAGCAAGCTTTTTGCCTGTGGTACTGATGAAAAAGAAATCGCGAATGAAAATCAAACGAATACATCTGTTGTGTGAGACAGTTGAGCTGTTGCTGCCCTTCTTACTAGGTTATATAGAGCACGTATGCTTATTTTGTACTTCAGCATCCCAAGAAATGGCTAGGTGTTTCTCTCTGGTTTTACCCCAGTTGTATTGTGAGGGCTAAAAGCTATTTAGGAAACTTAGGTCAGAGGAAGTGAGCTGGTTAATTTCTCTTACATTTAAGGATGGAAAAAAAAAATTCAGAAAAGAAAAACTCTGTTTAAACGTAGAGAGTAGAATGGTAGCACTGATTTTCCCTATTTCTCATGAGTAGATAAAATTTTACATGAAGAGCGGTTAGTCATGGGATTTAACTTAATTCTTTGGCAGATATTTATTATCTGTGCAAGAATTCAGATATGTCATTTTTCCCTAAAACTCATTCATGTCCAGGTCTAGCTAATTTACTTTCTTTTTAGCATCTTATTCACATTATAAAAAGCAAATTCTGCTTCACGTATGAAGATGAGAGTTTGAGAAAGTATTATTCTTAGGGATCCTATTGACTGTAAGGGATTTACATTTATATGGAAAAATGAAATCCTTAACTAGAATTCCCAAATAGGATTTATGGTTGTAACTTTAGAGAGCACCTTTGTATTTTTATTATCATGGTGAAATATTGTATTAAGCATATGTAGCACTTCATAAATGGCTATCACGTAAGCTGCAGGTAGAAGCAAAGCTGTAGATTTATAACACAGTAAACGCATAAGGCCTTCAAATACGCTGATGGTTTGGCCATAGAAACTAGAAGCTAAAAGTCACACAGAAGGGTTAGCAAGATCTGAATGGAACTCACACCACTGTCATTTATGATCTCTATCTTGGAATATGAGGGAGTAAGCTTCCAGCCTGGTAAATGAAATGTAGAAAGCAAGCTCACATGTGGGAAGGTTTTGTTTTAAAATCATCTGATTTACTTTAAAATGTGCTTGGGTAGAGCATTTTTACTTTCACTGTTTTGTACCCTGAAGTTATTTTTACACAGTTGTAGAGCAAGACTGTTCGTCAGTGTATCCCTTTCAAATGTCTTTGAGAAGAATGGAGGAAAAGAAACACTTTTGTATGTATTTAAAACAAACCAACCAACCTGTTTTACAAGTCATTTTGCGACATGCCAGTACCAAGACGGTACTTTGCCTTAACTGTTTACGCACTTTCATGGAGACTGCAATACATTGCTATGAGCACTTTCTTTATCCTTGAGGTTTAATCTTCTTCCTTCTTTCTATGACATAATGATTTCCGGTTGTAAAATCTTTGTAAAATATTTCTATATAAAAACATTTTTAAAATCTTGATTCCTTTTTCCTGAGTTGCGCTCCCCAATTCTTTAATACTGTTTTTGTTACAGAACGTCTGTTTTGGATAAGGTATTTTTTTTCCTCTCTATAACTATGAAGGATATAACACTATAATTTGTAGTGTTACCGTACTGTTCGTATGTACAGTTTATGGTAGCTTTGAGGAAAATACGGCAACCATGAAGCCCAGCCCTCATTCCTTGCCCTTGAAGTCACATTGAACTCTCTGAGTTCTATTATTTCTTCTATCAAGTGGAGATGCTACTATAAAGCCAACTCTACCCTCCTCACAGCTTTCCTGACCAAGACAAATCAGAGAAGTCACGTGAAAGCACTTTGTGCCTCTCAGACCAGGTGGTGTTAGGACCAGGAGTTGGGCCTAACTGATGACAGACAGACAAAGCTAGATTCCTGCTGTAGTCCCCAGAGGAGAGCCACATTCTATACTCAGCCAATGTTTACTGAAGACGCGATCTGTACCCCAGACTGAGGCGTCCTGGGGTGCAGATTTGATGCAGATGTGGTCGATCAGAGGCTCCTTTTCTTTCCCCTGACACTGGGAACTTGAGAACTTTTGATGTCACCCCCGAGCTATGGATCTGCTCGTGACCTTTAAACGGAGAGTCGATGTGTCTGTAAGGTTTGGCGGCTGGTGTTGAACACTTCCTCTGCTCCCTCCCCCCCGGGGGTGGGTTGAGCTGGGGTTGGAGTTCTGGCCCGAGTGTTTGCAGCTGTAACGCAAGGCCTGTGACCTTGTAAAATGAGATAGAAGCATGTTAGCAAAGGAAGGTCGCGGCTCTTCATGTGGGCATTTTGCCAAATTGCGGGTCTGGGGAGAGAGAGGCCTGTGTAGGAGGAAGGAGCGTGGAGTTGGAGGATCGATAGGAATTTTTACAGCGGCCTCCCTTATCTTTGCCGAGTGCTGTTGAGAGCAGGAAGAGGAGGGGAGGGGCGTCACTGCGGGCCTGGCAACCTCTACTGTTTACCACCCCAGGCATCCGAAGTAGGGCCCCGGGGGCGGATGACAAGTCCTGCCTCTGGGTGTGTTTCTAAGTAGGGGGACAAACTCAAACACTTGTGCGGTCACTTAGGTCACACAAATGAGTGAAGCGGCCTAGATAGAGGAAATTGTTTTTCATTTAACTTGTAATTACATTTCATGAAAGAATCACTTACTTTGTTCCCAGTCAAAAAGATTATTACATGCTTTTCATGCTTTGTTCCATGTGGGCTTCATATGGTGGTTATTCAGTTCGTTCTTTCAACGTAGGCATTCTTTGCGGACTAAACGCAGAAAGCCATCCGTCTTCATTCCCGTAAAGAAATACGCCTTCTTCCATTTATTTCCTGAAACGTCTGGCTTGCCTGATATTCCTTGCATTGCTCCCCACCTCCCTCCGCCCCGGAAGAGAAAGATAGGGTATAAGAAATTTCTTTCCTGTTTACCGTAAGACAGAAAAGCAATGCAAGAGGCGCAGTAAATGGAACATAGCCCGGAGGTGCTGTTGGGAGGCAATGGTATGGTGAGGCTCTGGTGAGCTAAGGGGCAGCCGGGAGCAATTGCTGTTGCCGGGCAGGTACGTGGGCCTTGTGTTAAGACCTTTGCATCTTTCCAGAGAAGCTGGGAATCTGGAGTTTTGTGTGAAATCTCCAAATTCTTAAATAGTGGCAAGTAATTTAAAAGTGCTAAAACATCTCTCTTGCCGAACAATCTCGACCTATGGGCTACCCATGAGCCACCATGGGTTGCCATGTTTGACTTTTTCTCTAAGAGGATAGTTTGTGAATAAGAGAATGGTATTTGAATAAAGTGTAAGGAGAGCAGGTATATATACAAAAATTGTGGAGTACAGAGAACAAGAAAGAACTGGGCAGAAGACATCCTTTACTGGAGATCATTTAAGGTCAGATAATCTATGCATTTATTACCTGCCATATTGATGTCAATGACCATTGTGCCCCAAAGTTCTTTATTCCATGTGTTGTTTACACTGTTGGGTTAAAGGATAATGATGATTAAAAAAAAAAAAACTTCTAAAGTTTTTCTGAATTATATATTGTGCTCCTGTTTTGAAAAAGAAAAAGCAAGCACAGAATTTTATATTGACAAAAGTCGCCTTTTCCCATCCCACTCCCTGAGTCCTCAGGATACCCACTGTGAACAGTTTAGGGTATATCCTTACAGATAATTTCTTTGTAATAAAGTTTAAAAAATAACTCTATATCATCATTTGGTTGCTTCACCAAGATTATGTTGATCTCTATATATATCCATTCATTGATTTATAAGTGTATATGTTTCCCCCAAATTGAGTTAAAGTCATGTTTGCATTAAGGCTGTTGATATAGCAATTAAAAAAATTTTAAAACATAGAGCAGATTGAAAACTTTAAAAACATAAAAGTAGGTATACAAATCTCTAGCCAAATATATTTATAATGCCTGAGAAATTCAGTCTGAGATTCCTTTCAGCCAAGACAAAAGGCCTCAGAGTTTTACCTTTCCCCCACAAATGACACTTACTTGAAACTCTTTTATTACTTCAGTTAAACATTGCTGCTCTCCCGTCTCCTTTTCTCCCGTCTTGATCCACCTTTCAGAATAATCTTTGCTATCAGAACATTTTTGTTTTACAACATAGCAATTCAAGAGTAGAGTTGAAATGTTGGAAGAACCTTGTGACAACACATACACACTCATCAGAAACAAGTTTGAACCGGCTACATATAAGTCACACTTTAAAAGTTAAGTGACTTTTTTCCTTATATGGAGATTTGTTTACATTTTCCAAGTCCAAAAGGGAGCAAATATTTTATCTAAAGGATGGACAAATGAGAGATCAAAGTACAAGTAAAGTGCTTTTTCCCCACATTCTTCACCCTGGCCTCTATGTGAATTAGTATATATTTTTCTATTTGAACATTTTCCTTATTGCATTTTAGTGGGAGAAAAGTGCACTGAAGTAGTTATGTTCTAAACTGTCTGAGAAAGAGGTTGTCCTCAACTCATGTAGACAGTTGTAGTGGTGATTACAAATGCTAATCTAATTAAACTGATTGACAATGTAAGAGGATAAATACGTTTTATGGTAATTAAAACACTTCAGGAGAAATATATGTTTGAAGAACTGATTTTCTTACAAAATGATCCCTAATAAGCAGGACACAGTCACATAACAACTCATACTGAAAGGAATATTTGAACCTAACAAATACATATATATTCTAGAAAGAATGGTTATCCATGGATAGGTTTGTTTTTTATCTGCTACTATGTATTTGACCAAGTACAGACAGATATTTTCTTATCTGCTAATTATAAAGTGTTTAAATAAAAGTACAATGGAAAACAACTAACATTTTAACATCTGTTATTTGTCAGTATTTTTTTTATTTAATCCTCACCATAACTCAGTGAAGAAGATATTATTATCTGTGTTTTATAGATGAGGAAACGGAGTCTTAGAATTAAGTGTCATGTGCTTGCACAGCAAGAAGTGGTAGAATCTAAAACCATTTCTGTCTATAACAAAAGCTATCCTCTTTTATCTCCATGCCACACAACCCTAGCATGGGCTTTTTCTAGTGGGAAGTGCCAGAAAATCCTTAATGTCCCTCAGGAGTCTATTTGTTTATGGCAAACATATTTTAACTTACACAGGGAAATGGGTATAACTTTATTAACTGGCTCACTGAACAAGAAGTTTTCGAATTGGAATTGCATTTCCAGGGAGCTAAAGTTTTTCCAGTTCCTAGCCACCGCACCCATTTAAAATGTCTTGGTTGGTCCTTGTGCAGCATTTACAATACTGTGGGATGTCTGACTGAAGTATATTAGGGTGTATGTCCGAACAGCTCTATGAGGTGGAATAGGGAAATGATTAGGAGCAGCACAGAGCTCTGGGTTTAAATTCTGGCCTTGTTATTTACCAGCTTCTGTGCTCCTGGGTAAACGGTTTAGCTTCCCTGAACCTTTGCTTGCACAATGGGAATATTAATACCTCTCTCATAGGGGATCAGCATTTTTAGCCCAATACCTGATATAGAGCCCCCAGTAAAGTGTTTCCCAAATTCATGTGAGAAAGAATTAAGGATATTCTTTGTTTCAATATCATTTATTTTTACTTGAATTACTCTTATGTAAGTGTGTCATGTTGGATGGACTATTCAGTTAAATACACCAATTAATTTTACCTGTTCATTTTTTTTCTTCAAATGTAGCATATTCCCTTTGACAGTGGAAGTCTATAAGCAGATCTGTCTAGAAGAAAAGTACACTGAATTTACATTTAGTTTTAGGTCTTTGGAAAACAATTAGCTGAGATTTCTTTTGTGGACATCAGAAAGAACGTCTATTTTTAAAAACAGGAAAATTCTCATCACAGTTTTTAATTCTAATATTTCCTAATCTTCTAGGCACTTCTCTGTAAATAAAAAGGAGAGGGGGACAGAAGACTAGAAGGATGAAGAGAAGACAGATGAAAGGAAAGAGGGTAAGATATTGGGGCGAATGGGAAGGGAATTCACAATGCAAGTTCTTAATCAGGGACAGTCAACAGAGTCCGTATGTTTATCTACTCTTCTTCCTCAGATGTCACTGAAATGACAGGAAATGAGTTCTAAAAACCTGCAGCTTCTTTTCTTGGCTTGTTCTCAACCTAGGGTAGAATCTTCAGCAGATAAAAGGTACATTTCTGGCATAAAGAAACAAGCAGGTGAGAACATATTGACATCTAAGCCCTGGCGCAAAAGGCTGCAGCAGAGGTGTGAGCTACCTTTCCTGGCGTAGCTTGTCTTGACAGGTATAGAGAGCCCGTGAGCAAAGTGGGCAGAAGCACTGAATACAAAACAGCTGCTCCTCTCCACCTATGGAGAGCATGTATGCAGTGCTAATGACATGAGGACATTTGCAAAGTGAACAGTTAGTCTGGAGAGGGTTAATGCTTCTAGTGAAGGTGTGGACCCCCTAGGGAAGCCCACCTGTTCTAATACTGGAAGTGAAACCGTGATTATCTTTGTGCTCTCTGCCTATGTGTCTTAAAGAAGCCTAGCCCTTGACGTGACTTGCCCACTTACTCAGAAATCTTCCCAGAGCGGTGTCTATTGAGAAAAAACAACCTACTCAACAGTAGAGGAAATCCACATAAGCTACTTCAATTCATTGACCTAGACTGCCTTTCATGTGTATGAACAGATAACCAGTGATGACCAGACACCTGGGAAAAACCAACAACTCCAAATAATGGGACTAAGATGAATAAAAAAAGTGATGAACCAAGAAAACCCAGAGATAATTTAGGAAAGAAAACAGATTTTTTCAATTCTAGTTAATATCCTCAGAGAGATTCAAAAAGGAATGCTATCTATAAAGTAAGTACAAAGTTTTATGCAAAAAGAGAACAGGAGGAAATTACTAGAAATTAAAAATATGACTCTCCCCAAAATTCAATAAAAAAATGAATTTAAAAGTAGAGCAAAGAGACAAAAATAAAGTATAAGAGAAAAATAAGCGACCTTAAAGATGGATGTCAGGGATGTCAAATACCTTTCTACTGACAAATTAAGCAAAAAAAATGGAGATGAATGGAGAGGGAGGAAGGAGAAGGAGTTGGATTACTTAATGATACAATGAAGGGTTCATATGTTTCTTGTCCAATAGAAAAAAAAAAGGTAACTAGAAAATTCAGAAAAAAAACCCCAAAACTTGTACAAGTCATTTCCATAATGACACAAAGTCAACTGTGGCATGATTCTGAGGAATTGTTGGAGTAAAACAAAGGATAATTAATTTTAGGGGTGCCTGGGTGGCTCAGTTGGTTAAGCATCTGCCTTCAGTTCAGGTCGTGATCCCAGGATCCTGGGATCGAGTCCCATGTCGGGCTCCCTGCTCAGCGGGGAGCCTGCTTCTCCCTCTGCCTCTTCCCCTCCCCCGTGCTCTCTCTCTCTCAAATAAATGAATAAGATAATTAATTTTACTTTGATTCTTAGATCATTTTCTTCGAGTGGTGACATAATAATATGTCATTTGCTTTTAATTTTTAGAATTAACCACTAAGTGAAGCTCAGAAGCTTTTTAATAAAGCTTTAAGACAAGGACAGTGTGGCTGTAAATGTAAATGTTATAAATTCTTATAAGTTAAAAAGTCTTGGTGTAGTTGACAAAAGCTAGGAATTGGTGGTAGAAAAGAGGTGAAAGATAGTGTAGGGTTCTTATACCCTCATTTTATAGAGAGGGAATTAAGACACTATCTAAAAATGATGACAATAAAGTAACTTTAAGCATGTTATATGAAATGATATAAATTGCATCATTTGAAAGCAATAGAAAGCAGGACATAATGTGAAATTAATTCCTTATCTCTTATAATACATCACTGAGAGATAATGTCTCAGGTTGTTAAATCAAGAAATAGGTATCAGTAGTATTGAAAATTTGATGTAGCTGGCTTACCTGAGCCACTCTAGCAGATTCTAATAGTTACCTAAGTCTCTTATCTATATTATCAACTCATTCTTTGCAAATACTTTTTTTTTTAAAGATTTATTTATTTATTTGAGAGAGAGAGAGTACATGAGAGGGGGGAGGGTTAGAGCGAGAAGCAGGCTCCCCGCTGAGCAGGGAGCCCGATGCGGGACTTGATCCAGGGACTCCAGGATCATGACCTGAGCCGAAGGCAGTCGCCCAACCAACTGAGCCACCCAGGCGCCCTGCAAATACAATTCTTAATTAAGGAGCCCAGTGATTGAATTATAAAAAAAAAACAAAAAAACTTATCCTGCTCATTTGGAAATTCAAGTTTAGGAGGGCATGAGCAGAGTTTTTCAAAAAAGAAGTCTCAGTGGTCATTGACTTGATTAAATATATAACAGATTGCCTTACTTTGAAAGTGAAAACTGTATTTGTGTAGAGTGGGAGGAAAAGACTGTGTGGTCTCAGAACTGTATCTAAGTTAATTACAGTATTTATCAAATAATTATCACATGTCATAATGGTTTATGTTTTACTATTTACATCATATGCAATTGTTTTGACTATAGCTTATACGTTATTTGCATCTGGTACTTCTTTTTTCATTCTTCTAATTTCTAATCATCTTTTAATTCTCCCCCATCCTTCTTTTTCCTGACAGTATTTCATTCATATTCGCCGATGTTTTACATTTCTTAAAACTTTTGGTCCATTGATTTTAAGTAAATAAATGCTTAGCCAAGCATACATGTCTTATAAACAGTGTTATGTAATATGTTAAATTCAAAATGATGACACAAGCTTAAAGTAACACATTGTAGAAACTCTAAGCTCAACTGACAAAAAATTAATAAACACTCAGAAAGACACTGATTGACCTAGAAGTGTCAATATTTATAAAATAAGAGTCACAGATTTCACATGATCATTAAAAGCTGGTGCTTTCATTGGCTGGAGGAGCGTGTGAAAATCACACCCGCCTCAACACAGTGAAACAAGCCTAATGATGAGGTAACTACCTGAAAACCTAAGAATAATGAGAAGGCATTCTCTCTAGTTGGTGTAATGAGGGGTAAAGCTGTAACTTTTCATTTACTACCATTCTGTCCTGTTTGAATTTAAGTAGCAATAGCACCGTCAACACCACAAAACCGACACCATCTTCTAGCATAGGTTTACAAAAATACATTAACAGTTTGGATATGAAGTCTAGGTCTTTCAGTTTTTAACTGATTTCAGTTAGAGGGCTCCTTTTTACTCTTAGGCTATCTGATTTGTTACCTACTCCCCTTTCCATGTATTTTATATTTCATGGGAATATCTGATAATATCTTCTAGAGACCATTTTCTACCTTCAATTCATATCTGTGGTTATAGTTCAAAAGCACTAACCCTGCAATATAATTTGTGATCTGGCTAAAGGAAAACCTCACATGATGAAGTCAACAAACAGATAAGAGGAGTTTATTGTGAAACATTTTTGAGTGTCCCTCAGTGCTGAAACATTGTTTTCAATGTCAAAATAGAGACAGAGTTCACTGGAAAATTTGGAGCTGAAATAAAGCAGGCCAAAAGCAGAGCCCTCGAGCAAATACTCTTAGCTATTCCTCATCACCCCTCATTGGAGGTTAGATGCCTGTTGCTGGGTGAAATTCTCCCATTTCGAGTTTGCAGAGGCAGAAAGTGAGAGTTTCAGAAAAGTAGACATGTTCCCAGTCGTAAATCAGTGTCGGTCATTGTCAAGACTTAAACAGAAGTACCCAAAATATTCTGAAGAATGTTAATTTACTGAGACCCTGAATCTTGCTTGAAGGGAGAGAGATCCATTTAAAAAAAAAAGGCCATTACTTTGCATTTTTCCCACAATCTATTTATCTCATTAAAACTGTTGAAAAAAATCACATCTTAATCTCATAAAACTGACACCTACATTTCTTACGATCTATCACAGTTATAGGATGTTTTTGAGTTCCCAGATAGTTTGAGTCATGGAGTGCCTGTATGTGCTAAGGCTCTGACCTTCACACAAGAAAAACAAAACATATCAGGGATATTCAAAAGCTGACGATTTCATGGGAAATGATATCTTTACATTGTAATATGGTTTTGCTGTGGTTGAGATGTGCATAGGATGCTATGGGAGTTCAGAGAATAGCTCTTAGTGCAACCTGGAGTTAGGGAAGTCTTCCTGAAAAGGCAATGCTTCAGTTCTATCTCTTCTGTTCCTTTGTCCAGTGGTATTTGTTTGCTTATTTAAAAATTCCAAATAATACATGAAAATATAAACAAGAGAGTAAAATTCACCCCAAATCTCTTCATCCAGAGATGATCACAGTTTGATATTTTGGTGAATACCCTTCTAGGCAAATGTGTGTATGTGTGTGAATAGATGAAATTTTACATAAATGTGGCTATACTCCACCTGTTATTCTGTATCTTGATTTTTTTTACACTCAACAATATATCCTGGATTATTCCATATCAATGAATTAGAAATTCCATCACTTTTCACAGCTATAGAATATTACCCTGTATTTTGTACTTTTATTTAGCTGTCTCTTATCAAAGTACAGTTAGGTTGTTTCCCCTCTTATTGCTGTTTAAAATAATTCTGTACTTAATATCATTGTATATATATCTTTGGATACTCAGGCAGTGATCTCTATAGATAAGTCTCTGGAAGAATTGCTACACGATAAGTGGCAAACATTTGAAATTTTGATTTACAAATGCCAAACTGCTCTCCAGAAAAGCACCAATTCAAGTTCCCATGTTTTCCTGTGCTTTTGTCAAC